CCCCATTTTAAATTTGCGATACAGGCATAGCGCCCATACATTAAAAGTGATATTATTGCACTTAAAAAAATTCAACGTTACGCCACTAAATGGATACCCCAGATTTGAAAATAAAGTTACAAAACAAGAATTAAAATACTTGGGTTAAGCACACTGAAAAAAAAGTCGTAAAAGTAGCGACTAAATTCAAATGTACAAACTACTTAAAAAAATAAATATTATAGAACTAAATTGTAATAATTTTGCCTCCTATCAGCCCGACACAAGGGGCCATAACTTCAAAATCAGAAGAGAAATAGTTAAAAACTGTAATATTCGTCATCAATTTTTAACTAATTGAGTCTCATCAATGTAGAACAAACTACCAGATTTTATCATCAAAAGTGAAAGCTTGAACTTATTCAAAAATCGCATTGATAAATATCTAGAGCTACATGATTTGTAATTTATAATTTAATTTATTTACCTAGAATAATTACTCAATATATATGTATTATGTTAATTTATTTACCTAGAATAATTACATAATGTAATTAACATTAATTTCACTCGTAGTTTTCGAACTACTCTAGCTTTCCATTATAATAAAAAATATATATATATATATATATATATATATATATATATATATATATATATATATATATATATATATATATATATATATATATATATATATATATATATACTACTGTGATCAAAAAGTAAGGTGAATTTTTAATTTAAACTTCCCGCCTTATTCGAATTGTCCAATCTTTTTTATTTTTAAGTTGGTAGGAATGTCATTAACATTTGCGCCAAATTACATGTCAAACTCATAATTATTTTTTTTTGTTTACGCTTGTTTCTGAAGTACCAAAAGTGCATTCGGCGATTTTCACGATGTCTAATTTTGTTGAACAAAGAAGTGCTATTAAATTTTGTTTGCGGAATGATATTTCTGCTGCTGAAACGTATCGAATGTTGCAAAAGGCCTTCGGTGAAGATACTATGTCTTAAAAAAATGTTTACAAGTGGTACAAAGACGTCAAAGAAGGCCGAGAACGTGTTGATGACTTGGAACGCTCCGGACGACCATCGACTTTGATTGATGATCGCCACATCAACAAAATCAAAGAATTGGTGCTTGCAAATTGTCGGTTAACCATTCGAGACCTTGTTGACATGGTTGGAATATCATTTGGGTCGGTGCAACCGATTTTGAAGGATCATTTGGGCCTCAGAAGACTCAAATCACGTTTGATGCTGAAATTTCTCAATTTCTTTGAAAAAGAGCGTCGCATTAAAACGTGTGAAGCAATGCTTTCTGACTATCAAGACGTCTACAAACAAATTATTACTGGCGATGAGACTTGGGTCTACGCATAAGACCCTGAAACAACCGACCAATTGAGTGAATACCGTGAAAAAGGCGAGCCGAGACCGAAGCAACCACGTCAAAGTCGCTCAAAAATCAAGGTCATGTTGACAGTTTTCTTTGATTATTGTGGTGTCGTGCACTACGAATTCCTTCCAACTGGTCAAACTGTCAACAAGGAATATTATTTAAGCGTTATGCGACGTTTGCGTGAAGCTATTCGAAAAAAGAGACCGGAATTATGGGCCAATAACTCTTGGATTTTGCACCACGATAATGCGCCTTCGCACACAGCACTGGTTCTTCGTGAGTTTTTCGCCAAAAACTCTACCCATGTTACTCCAAAACCACCGTATTCGCCCGACTTAGCACCGTGTGACTTCTGGCTGTTTCCAAAGCTCAAGAGACCACTCCGGGGAAATCATTTTGAGTCCATTGAAGAGATCCAACGTGAATCGGCACGCGCATTGAAGGCTATCCCTACCGAGGACTTTTTGGCATGCTTCGAAGACTGGAAAAAACGTTGGCAAAAGTGCATTGGGGCCGGGGGGAATTATTTTGAGGGGGACGATACAGATTTGGAAGAATAAATAAAGATTTTTCATTTTATAAAAAAATTCACCTTACTTTTTGATCACAGTAGTATATATATATATATCAAATCTGCCTTTCAGCGTAGATTACTCTAAGATTGATGTCATTTATGTTGTAAATATAATTGAATAGTATGTTAAATTTTGTTCCACGCACCCATTAAAAGAAAAGTAGTACATAGTGCAGATTTTTAAATGTTTCACTCTTGCAGAAAAAATATTTGTCAGGAAACCTTTGAGAACAAGCTAGAGCAGACTTAAACCGTATATGATTTTAAAATAGTCATCAGTATTTATTTATAAAATTGTATATCTGAGGTATTCAAATGCTAAGAAGCTGGTTAAAACATTCTATCAATCAGCTGCTCGTAGCAGCTGGTTGATCGAATACTTTACAGGAAACAGTATACTGTTAAAGCTTTCTGTTATTAGTGTATGTCTTCCTCTTTTTTCCTTTATTTGCGTCTATCCTGACAGGACGACCAAATGTTAGCCACAATAAAACTGAACTATTTATTTGACCAAAGATGTCTTCAATTGGCATGTGAAATGTTTTTTAAAAGAGCTTTTAACGTTTATAAACATATAAGGCTTAGGTTATGTTTAAAAATTAATTGTATGATAAGCATTTTGTTGATTGTTACTAAATTAGGTTTGTTTATAAACAGAATACTGGTGTTTTTGTAGGTGTTTATTTGATGCAAAAAAATCATTTAAGTTATCGCGTTGCAAAACAAAATTATATATATAAATTTTATAAAAGTTTTTTTTATATATATTTTATATAAGTGTAAAGATGATTTATTCTTCTTGCCCACAAGGCATACAAGAATGCACACAGTTTTGTAAGCTTAAGGATAAGTATGAGCCTCTTTAAATATATTAAATAAGCATACCTGAACCTGTTACAAAAACTCAATGTTCTTATAAAATAAAAGCATGCTTCAAAATAATAATAATATTATTCAACTAACTATTCATCAATAGAAAAATATTCTATGAAGTTAAATAAAATTTACAATAAAAAACCTTTATTTTCAAAAGATTTAATTTTTTTTTTAATTTTATAGTAATCACTTTTTGACTACAGATTTTTATTTTTTTGGTTATTATGCCTCAACGGACTTCAGAGAATGGCAAAAACTTGAGAAATGTTCTCAAGAAGAGGAGAAAAAAACCTGTACACCCTTTTCCTGAGCTCTACTCTAAACTACCCATTTTTTGAGCACAAATCTATTAGTAACGGAATTTTTAAAGGTGTTTGATGCTTGATGCACAAAAACCATTTGATAAAGATGTTTTTTATTATTGCAAAATAAAAATACTTATGCACCAGATTCGAAGCAAGTTTATTTATTCTTACAAGACTTACGAGATCTCGTAAGTCTTGTAAGAATAATACAAAAACGCGCGCTTTCTCGAGAAAGTGCGCGTTTTTATAAGCTTAAGTTCCTCTCAAAACTTTTTACCTAAACATACCCGAGCCTATTTAAAAACTCAATATTCTTTTTAAAAATCATATCACTATTCGACTTAGGCATAAATATTAACTTATATATTAAAAAATTAAAAGCAAGATAAAAGATAAAATAAATTTCTTTACATATTAATTCAACATTGGTAAAGGACACTTATTTTCGAAAAAATCAAATTTTTCGAATTTTACAGCTGTTTTTCCTGTCAACAAAAATTTTTTTTCTTTTAATTTTTAGCCTCAGAGGACTTCAGAGAATGGGAAAACGTTGAGAGGTATCTCGGGGGAGAAAAAAAGTTCGTTTTTGGTACACCCTAATATATATATATATATATATATATATATATATATATATATATATATATATATATATATATATATATATATATATATATATATATATATATATATATATATATATATATATATATATACAAAAGTGTAATGTATATGAATACAAATAAAAAAGGCTTTTGATGTAGTTTTTCTTTACTTGTTATAAACCTTTTGAATTTATAAATTTAAAAGGTTTGTAAATTTAAAACAAGTTAAACAAAATTGCATCAAAAATCTTTTGCATTTGTATTTATTCATTTGGATATATTACACTGTAATATTGCTTAAAATATGTTTCTTTCATTTTATCATTTAACTATTTATTTAATTATTTATTTTATTATGTTTCTTTCATTTCAATTCTTTGTTTTTTTATCAAATCTATTTGAGACAAAACAAAGAAATTTTAAGAATTTTTTTTTATAAAAGTTAAATTTTTTTTTAAATCTATGTTGGCGAAAGAAAATTTATTTGTTGCATTGTACACGCCTAGGATGAAACTATGTGACGGATTCAGAATGGACATACCCTATCCCCCTAGATCCGTCACTGCTCTGTTGAGCCCGTTAACGGAAGCATGGCGAATTGACGTCTATTGGGGTATCAGACTTTATTAGGAAAGGAAAAATGATTTTTGAAGTTATAATTTCAGGTCACCATGGATTAACTTGTAACTGAGATCGAAAGGTGAAGACAAGCTTATGCTTCTCTTGTTTTGAATTCTTTGTCCGTCTCTTAGATATGGATTCTTTTGTGATTACAGCGTGCGCTAAAGAACTTTTTAAAATTTACCTAAACGATGCATTTATATTCTGAATAAAAAACTGCATTACAATAACTTTGTTCCCAATTCAGTTGAAACTAATATTAGTGAATCCAAAAAAACAAATCATCTTAATTTACTTCTGGTTCTTAAGTCAAAGAAACTTGAATCCAGTCTCAAACGTCAATGATGTGTCAAGGATGTTTTTCTCAGGTCTTATGTTAGGTCTTCATGGGGCACCTAAATAACAAAACAAAGAAAACAAAAAAATTAGCAATATATTAGCATATAAAAAAATCGACTTGAAAAGCGAATAAAATTTTTTTCTGGGTTGGGGAAGGGGAGGGGGGACTGAAGAGGCCACAACCGTTATTTCAGGGGCCAAGATGACCTAAAGACGGGCCTGTACTCAACTAATTATCGAATTTCGAGTACAAAATTCGAAATACAAAAGCTTCGTTTAACTCGAACGAGTTAATCTAATGCGTGTAATCGATGAAGTCATATATAAGCGTTATAAAGCGTCATACAATTCAATAATAATAAAGTTAAAACAAAATGTGATTTTTTTGAATTTTTTTTTTTAAAAACTGATATGAAAATGATGAAATACGAAAAGTTGGAAAAGATTGGTGAAGGTTAGTGTGTAAAAAACTATAGTTTTGTATTTATGATTTTTTTTAATTTATGGTTGTTGTGAAGTCAAAGCATCAATATCAGTAAAAACATATGTATTTTCTGATATTAATGTTTTGACTCCACAACTGAACATCATTCAGCTATATTAGCTGTAATTTACTGCATATGTATGGACATACATATACAGTAAATTACATCTAGAGTAGGCTGGAAAGGTTGTTTTTTCTGTAGTCAGATATGTTAAGAACATACATTTTTTAAAGGAACTTATGGCACAGTATTTAAAGCAAAGCACAAAGACACAATGGAAGTTGTGGCATTAAAAAGAGTTCGTTTGGATGAAGATGATGAAGTAAATTATAATTTATAAAATTAATTTTTTTAATTTTCAAAATTTTTACTTAACAATACCTAGATTTCTTCATAGTGAATTTTTTTTATTATAGCTATTCCATAACATCTTTTTTTGTTCTTTAGAAATATATATATATATATATATATATATATATATATATATATATATATATATATATATATATATATATATATATATATATATATATATATATATATATATATATATGTATATATATATATATATATATATATATATATATATATATATATATATATATATATATATATATCTGCATTTGAAACAAGTATATATAATAAGAGATTATTTTTTTTGAAATTTAAATTTAGAATACTCTTTGAATTTACTAGATGAAATATATGAACAATCACTCCTTCATCTAACATTTAGTGATACCTTCAGGAGAATCATATCGAAAAATATCATTTCTTATATTGAGACGCAGCATAAAGTGATGCAAACATTTTGTATTCTTCTTTGAATAGTTTTTAATTTTCCTAATTAAGTAGCAAAAGTTTTTTTTTTTATTAATAGACATATGTTACTCTTGGAGATTATCTTATATATTAATTCCCTTCCAGTTGTTAAACTATTTTGAATACCATCATTCAGAAGGCATATCCATTTGCTTAGTTCTTTTGATGGATGTCTTAGCTTCTGCATCTTTGTTGATAATTTTTGTTGAGAATATCTTCTTCTAAAATGTGTTTCCTAAATTTTTATAACTTCAATAAACTCTGATACATGTTGAATCTAATTCTTTCAAAAGCAGGTGTAGGGGAAAACTGGGAACATTCGACCACTTAGCTAGTTTTTATTAATTTACAAATGATTTTTTTACCAAAAACATTTAAATTTTTTTATCATTACAAGTAATGGTCTTAAACCAACAAATTAAAAAGATAATGTATATACAATATTGATTTTTGTTAAATCTACCACTTTTTTAAAAGTAAGCCTCAAAGTGGTCGAATGTACCCCACCGGTGGGTTACATTCTACCACCTAGAGGGGTACTTTCAAACATATCATTATTAGCAAAATTATAAGTCTATAAGCTTTCTTTCTAAATAATTTATTGTACAATAAAAATTTTCCACAAAATATTTTAAAACAAATAGTAATAGCTGTTTATCAAAATAAAAATAACATTGCCGTTCTTTCTGTCTTTGTTGGAGTCGCAGACTTTCATTTCGATAACTTTTCTTCTTTTTTCATGGGCCGCACATGTTCTGGAATCAGTTTTTAATTGTTAGAGTTATTCTAGTAGTTGCAGGAGGAATGCGTTTCATTGGTAGATAAGAGTGGTAAATTATTTTATAATGGTGTACCTATTTTTCCTAGACTTTCACTTGGTTCTCCCATTAGGGTTCTGTTTTGACATATCTGGGCATGAAATCTTTTTGCGGCTTGTGGTTCAGACAGTGAATAATTAAAAATACTAATAATTTTTTCTAATACCACATTTTCATTTCTTTTATTTCTATATGTTGTTGTTACATTTTTTGAGGCATCTAAAAGATAAGAGGAATAAATTATTGTGGTATTTTCAAGGACCTGTCGAATATTCCCCAGCTAGGTAGGTCGAATGTATCCCGCACTTATTATATATAAACAAACGCCGTTAAAAGCCGAAAATCAATTTTTTAAAGTAAACCAAACACAAAGGTTTTAAACTCAAAATATCATTAAACAATAAATAAAAAAAAAGTTTAGGAGGTTAAAATTGGAAAAAAGATTCTCTGCGGGTTATTTAAAATATAAAAAAATTACCTTTTGCATCAATAATTAAATTTTTTTCTATATAAGTACTAATACTAATAAAGATAGATCGATACTTATTTCCAGCGATAGCTTATTAACAGACAAAACATGGATAAAAATTTTAAGTGGTAATTTTTATCATGTTGGGAAATATTTGAAAAGGTCGAATGTTCCCCATGGTCGAATGTTCCCCATCTTCCCCTATCTTCATTATAATTTTTATTGCAATCTTTTTTTTCTCTAAATCCTCCAAAATCAATTCCATTTCATCAATGCACTTGGGTTATCTAAAATTGAAAATTTGATATTAAACAAACTAAGTTGCTGTCATCTTTATGATCTCATTGTTTTGTTCATTGACTTGATCTATAGTCTAAAATGTAAAAAACACTTTTCTTGATAGTTGTTGCCCTGAAACTTTGTAGTTTTTGTAGTTGGGATTTGTATTTCTTCTGTCATAAATGATACATTTCTACTTTTAGACACTATCAGGTTGTGGTAGTTATCAAAATTTGTATAACATATTTTGTGATAGTTCACATTTTTGTTGCAAAGCTATTGCATTAAATCTACAAATTGGATCTGACAAACTACATGTATAAGACAAGGATTATTTTTTTCCAGATATTTCTAGAATTCCGGTTTTTTCTCAACTTTTGGTTTTTCTGAATAGCCAAAACGTTTTCCATAAATACACAAATTTAGGAATATATTTCTGTAATTTATTTGTTTTTTAAGCTTTTTCACTCATCAGTGATACTAAAATTTAAAAAATGAAACAATCCAGCATAAAGCAAAATTAAGAGGAAAATAAGGAGGAAATTAAGAGGGAAATTAGAAAATAATAAATATATTCCAGATATTTTACCCAAACAATTTTCTGGATTTTTAAAAAATAACCTGTATGATCTATGATAAGATAAATCTCAATTTTCTGCAAAAGACTTGAGGTAAATACTCTCCACTCAAGGTATACATATAATACATGTATATGTATAAAAATAAATAAATAAGAAGGTATAATATAAATAAATATGTGATATAAATAAATATAAATAAATATATGATACATTAAAATTATTGGCCAAATTTAGCTTGAAAGTAACAAAATGAAAAGTAGGGGAAGCGGGGGCATAACCGCCCCTGTAACATTTGGATTAATGTTATATGAAAATAAAAATGAATAGTATTTTTTTAACAGTTTATTTCAATATCCACATTATTAAGCTTTAAATTGATGCAATTAAGAAAAAAATTAAATGGTTTTTGAAAATTTTATTTCACGAATTATATCTATTTTTTTTTTAATCACAAATTATACTTAGTAAAAAAAACGGTTTTACCCCTATCATGAGGCACAACCGCACCCTCACAAAAATTGTTGGGGGTACACTTTTCTTGGTACATTTTCTTTACAATTGTCACAGCTCAGATTATTTGTTGATTTTGTTGCATGTTTGCATACTGTGTAGGCATTCTTTGTATTTACAGTCTGAATTTTCTCATTTGATATAGTGTCATGTCTTCCCCTACCATGAAGAAGCTCCTACCGTGGTTTTTGAAAAAATAAGTAAATCTTTTTGTTTTGTTTTTCAATATATTTTTTTAGTATTGTTTTATGCAAAACTAACTTATTTCAGTAATAATATATTTTTAAGAAGATTTATTTTTATAGTTTGAGATGTTTTTTATCCGCGGATGATTTTTTTATTGCTTTTTAAGAAAATATTTTACAGTCAAAAAAAGTTTCTGTTTTTTTTTTATGGCAAAAAATTAATATATATTTTTTTGCAAAAAGCGTAAAATAGTTGTAAAAACATTAAATATATAAAATTTTATAAAAAATAGTAGTATTTTTTGTACAACATTATTTAATCCTTGACATGGTAGGTGATTACAAAAATTATACTAGTTAGCACTTACCGTTTGTGGAAACATTTTTTTTAAATGTGTTTAATTTTGTTTATTTTTTTCTTTGAAAAACCATTTAGGTTAATCTAAATTACCAAGTAAAAATAATTTAACCCTAGGGAAAATCCATTTGATATGAAAAAAATATTCGGAAAAAGTTATAGAAGTTAATATATTCTGACGAACAACTGCAGGAGCACTTACAGCTATAAATTACGGCAAAGAATTAAATGACAAAAAGAAAAACTAAAAGCGCTTAAAAAAAAGATACTTAAGAAGAAACAAAGTTCTAATTCAGAGATATAGTAAATAAATAAAATTAAAATCAAAATATATGATTTTTTCATTTACAGTAGGTGAAGAATCAATTATGGTAGGTGGTGTCATATCACGGTGGGTACAAGATCTTAAAAATTACATAAAAATTAAAAACAACATTTAAATTATTTTACTCAAATTTGAATAATATAAATTAGTTAATAATTGAGTATAAATTATTAATCTGAAAACCCTAAATTTAAATCTGTTACGGTTTTGGAGTTATGAAGTTTTTAAGTTAAAAGTTTTTTTAAAGTCGCGGTAAGGGAAGACATCAACTTACTCTTAACTTTATATTTTAATCAAAAACTCATAAAAACTAAATAAAAAAAATATGAAATCTAATTTCCAACATCTCAAAACAAAACTATTTCTTTTCAAGTTTTTACATGAATGCATTCAAATGTGAGGATTGTAGTTATTGTTATTCGTAATTACCTAACTTTGATAAATATCAAAAGTATGCGGTTGTGCCTTCTGTGTGTCTATGCGGTTATGCCCCCACTTTCCCTATAACAGCAGAATATGATTTATATCTAATTTTTTAATTTAGAAAGATTAATAATCATACTATTGGTTTATTTTTTGTTATTGGAAATTCATAACCTGTTGCAGCATTTACAAGTTTAAAACTCTTTCGAGACATAACAATTTATTATTAACTTCTAAGGCCTAGATCTTTACTACTAGAGTTTCCAAAATATCGGAAAATTATAATACCGGTTTTCGGTATTATATCAATACCGGTATAAACCGGTGTTGTGCGATATTTATAAAAAATATAAATAAAAAATTTAACCAAATCCTTAAAAAACTTTATGAAAAGAAAAATAAAATAGAAAAAGAAAATTTAAACATTTTTGTTTTTCTATTTTATTTTATTTTACTTTTTAAAATCTAAAAATTAAATGTATTATTTAAAATATTAAAAAAGTTTTATCAAGCAGTAATAACTCAATAATTTAAAGTATTTTTATCAAGCAA